TTAGAGAGCAGAGCCAATTCGGTACAATGGGGAGATTTTTATAATTAGTAGGAGCAGTCAGGCACAAAATCATGCATTCAGCCAGTGCCTGCTACTGCTTTGCACAAGAGGAAGGTAATTGCAAAGCAGTGCAAAAACAACAACATAAGCAGCAAGGGAAATAAGGAAATTACTGTTGTGGATTCTTAAAACTGGTTAGTACTTTGTTGTACAAACTGATCCACGTCCACCTTCTTTTACTCATTTCACTTGATTACTCTTGGAGTAATGTTCAGTGTACGTTGTCTGAAACACTGCAGATGGTTTGCTTAATTAATTCAATTACGGGGTATTATGCATGCTCTCTTCAGCAGCATTTTAACCCGTCTCACATAAATCAGCAAACAAATTATTATGAAATAAAGCCAGGCTGACAGAGTACACGGAGGCATAAGAGCATATTTAAGAACAAGCCTTTTTACATTGTTCATTATTGCCATAACAAATGGAAAGCCAAAGGTCTTAAAAGCCCATCTGGGTCACTTGCTTTATTTGGAATTGCAAATTCGATTGAAACTGAAATAATAAAATGAAACATAGAAAAACTGGATATTATGTTTATTATTAAGAAACTGCATAGGAAAAATGTGTACTGGGAACAATGAAACAAAGGTATTAGGCAAGTTAGAATGCTTATATACTGAAAGGCATAAAACATTAAACACATTTATGTTATTGTGTTATTTTTGTGTTTTTTGAAAGAGCAAGATGCATCAATACATGGTATTGTCAAAAGTCATGAAAGTTATCACTGGTAAGTATTCTTAACAGTTGAAAATAATGTGGTAAGCATTTTGCAAACTCATAAAGTCATAAAATCTTTAATTATGTTTAAATCTGCATCCCTCACTTTGCCTTGGATGTAAAGAAGTTAATACAAGGAAAAATACACACAGTGGTGTCAATTCAACAGATGCACCATAAATTGATTTGAAAAGTAAACATTGCAAAAAAACCACACACTTCTACATGTTACTAAGGTGTCACCATTTTTATACTGATAAGCGATTAGCAAGACCAAATTAGAAGTGAGAGTCAACTTAAACACAATGACATCAGACTAGGGGGAAATATGCAATAAATCTTCAGGTCATTTCTGTTCCTGAATTAAAAAGAGAAACAGAATATTGTGTGGTGAAAAAAGATACAACTAATACTGTTTCTAAATTTGTACAAAAAACACCACGGTGCATGAATTTAACAGAATTATAATTTTTTGAGAGGATGTTAAGATGTACATGCATTGCATACAAGGCTTATAAAGGCTTAGTTATAATCTAAGACTGAGGATTGCACAGAGGAACCAGGAACTTGGGAGGATGAATGCTGGAATGTTGCAGCACTTTGTGTCATGTGTATCCATCTATCATCTAAGATCTATCATCTATTAGACCATGTTTGGATGCTTGTTAGAGATAGTGACTGCCTTTGTCCTGGTACCCCATGTTATCACACCAAAACAGGATGTCTTAAACACAAATTTCAGTTAGCCACTACTGCAGCCAAAGCTGTAATTGAGATTTGTACAGAACTGTGCAAAGACATTTAACAGATGTGGTTTGCAAAGCTGTAGGCTTTATCATGACCAACTCCTGACTCAATATCAAGTTACATGCTAACAGTTGGCAGCAAATGGAGGCAACCTTGGACATACAGTATAAGATGGGAAGATGTCATTTTCTCTGGCGAATCAAAGTTTAATCTGAGATTTACAGATGGCGGATTCCGCACAAATGCTAGGGAGCAACGTCTGTAGAATTATGCTTTTGAATGAGCTCAGCAAAGGAGGTGTGATGATGAGGTAACAGCACAAGTAATGCTCAATTCCAATCAGAAGGTCTTGTTATAGTGGGGAATCTCACTGTCCAGCTTGTTTTTTAACACAAACATGATCAACCCGAGAGTAGCAATGGTCACACAGGCATCCCTTCATGCACACAGCATTCCAGTGGTTGCAATGAACCCATGTAAAGAAATTTGGGATGAGGTAGGTTGTCACGCTCGACTGCAATATCCTGGACCATTGAACAAAGAATTAGGGTTCTATCAATGACTGAAAAACAACAGGCCTTGAAATACCAATGGCTACGACTCCTGCTAGCCTCTCCGAGACATCTGTATCGGTCCTCATATACTTCTGGTGTGTCAAAGCACAAGCTCTTAATGACTAAGCCTCAGTGACTCTTACAATTTCCAGGCACATGTTACATCACAACCAATTCATTCCAACAAGGATTGTAGACATCCATTCCTCTAGTTGAATGTAGGTATACTGAACCACAAAGTGTTTTTGCCAAGTGAACAGTCATAAAATGATTTTCACTCTTGTTGCTCATGTTAAAACATGTTTTCATACATTAAAACATTTCAAGGGCGAAAATGTGGAACACGTTTTCCACGTTTTCCATGACTAAAGAACACCTTGTGACACCACAAAAGGGCATTGTGTGCATTATCCGGGTGGGTCCATAGTGACCGTCAGCATGCCCAGCAACAGATGGTGTTACAACCTTTCAAACTGATACATAAAAAAATCTAAACTATACAGAATTTGGAAATTGATTAAATTACTCTGGTGTCATTTTGACTGATTTAATTAACCATTCATTACTGACTGTGATACACTTCAGTCACCCTTATCATGCTAAGGTAATGAGGTTACTTAACCTTTTGAATGTCAAACCTTGCGTAAATTAGGAAAGTAAAAAATATGCCCCGCTAATCAAGAGAACAAAGCCTTTTTGTCATTGGTAGCTGGAGACTGGACTAAATTAGTGCTCCAACAACACTTGTTAGAAATTTCTAACTTGGCAAGCCGTTACAGTCAAACAATTCATCAATGCAATTGGGAAGTCCAAGTGTGATGGTCCAGTCACTGTAGCACTCCACCTGCAGTGCCTGATGGCAACCTGACAGCATGATGCTGTCCTGTGACTTCACCTGCTGCCATAATGGCAGGCTCTTGATGTGACAACACTCCAGCAGGACAAATCTCACCCTCATTCTGCTGAAGTAACAGTGTGCTCTTGCAAGATATCATTGTGACAAATACAGTACACCATCAACGTCCTACTCAACTTGGTTCAAAGTATGCATCACAGATGTACAGCTTCAATTTACCCAGCTGTGCTGTTGAAGCTAATAGCATGACTTTCAAAAATTAGACAAATGCGATCCTCTGACTAATTAGCTACTAGCAATAATCAAGACAGGCCAGATTGCCTCCTCTCATTTATAACTTTAAGCTCTTACTGTATATTGCTTCAAATGTTGACCGCTCATGACTATCTTGTGACTTTTAAATTAGGACCCTTGTTAATGACAAATGTTTATCAGTATAATAAATCCGACTGTTATGTCTCTTCAATAAAATATTAGTGCACCTACTACAACAAACATGACAGGTTATCTCATTTTCCTTATAATACTTCAGTGAATTAACTATTCAGTGGCTCGAAGTTATAAGATTTGTTTTACGCTCAGTACAAATTCCACCTAAATTTACCACAGATAGCAAAAACATACAGAGCGCAAAGAAAAGATACTCATTTTTATTTTATTTTTAATTTTAAGCCTATATTGATGGAAACAGAAACCCACAAAAGCAGGATTATCTTTCAAAATGATCCCATTACATTGTCCTGACAGTTATACAAGATTGTCTATGAGACGGCCAATGATAAAGCATGCAATAACATCTCGGCTATTATTTAACAGGACTTTCTATCATCGTGGCATGTTATTAGCGAGCAGACAGAAGTGTTACATCACTGTTGGCTCTCAATTCCACATGTGAGCACGAACGAAATTGGGGGACAGTGTCCTGCCAGACACAGAGAGATAACAAGGTACAAAGTAAGTCAGAGGAAAATAAATTTCTCAACAAAAAAACACCCCTATTACTAAGAACAGGAAATCTATGCTCAGCATTAATCGCATCAGTCAACTTCTGTTCTTGAGCCTGAAAGACTATAAATGTCTGAGGCAAGAGGAATAACTATCTGTAACTTACACAAAAGAATTTAATAGAAAGCTCCGATGCATAAAATAAAGATAATGATTAAATTTTAAAATGAATGCACTGTACTTTACTCCACACAACACAATATTAATGCACTATGTTGCTATAAACCACAAGACAGACCACGCAGATGTCAATTCTGATCTGTGAGATATTTAAACTAAGACAGCATAGTGGCCAAATGGTTAGCATTGCTGTCTTGCAGCACTAAGACCCTAGGTTCTATTCCTGGGATCCTATCTGCATTGAGTTTGTATGTTCTCCCTGTATTCACATGGATTTCCTCTGAGTGCTCCAGTTTCCTCGCAGAGTCCTAAGACATAGTGGCAAGTTAACTGAAAACTGGCCCTGGTGTGAGTCTGTGCATGTCTGTCTGTGTGTGACCTGCATTGGACTGGGTATAACCACGGTCCTGTCCAGGGTATGACCTGCATTGAGCCAACTGTTTGCCAGGTTAGGCTCCAGCTCCCCCATGACCCTTTATTGGATAAAACTGTACCATATTGTAAATCTGGAGACACAACCAAGTATCTCAGTCATTAGTGTTACAGTAAAGTTCTAATGTAGTATGATTTCTAACCAGTACTTTGATTTGATTAGCTTAAATGAGAAGCTGCATACAACAGAAGACATTTTTCTTCCATTTAAATAGTTTACATTTGCTAATGTATTAACAAATATCAATTTTGTGTGAACAGCTGTAATGACTTTAATACAAAGGCCACTAAAAAGATTTGTTTCAAGTATAACAATTATGAAGCATCTGATATTGAAGTTCATTACTGTAAGCTTCCACATATACTGTCTAAAAAATCCGAGAGAAAGTCTGTATTTTCTTAAATATCTATTTATTCATCTGCCTTATTCACATTCCAGATAGTGGTAGAGAGAAAGTCCTAAAATAAATGAAAAGAAAGTTGAAGAGTTGTAGTCTTATTACCTTGTTGTTTTTGTGCAGTTTTTGTTGGATATTTTGACATTTTTCAATCAATTGAATAAGCTCTGCCCGTGCAATGAAGACTTCTGATGAATAATTCTCAAGGCTTAGCAGAGATCTGTATGAGAAACAAAACCAACATGGATTACCAATCCTAACGAATTCTACAATTGTCTATAGAACTTCTTAATGAAAAATGTCTTTCTTAAATACTAATGGAAATGCATGTTGAATTCTATTTACTACATGGATCCAATAAAATGTCAGATTTAATGCTTTTGAAATTTTTGTAATCAAAGCAAATCACACTCTGCTTTTCTTAGTTTTTTTTTTAATTAAGGTATTCGATCAAATTGCCCTCTACAGTCCTTCAAGCAACTGTCAAGGCCAATGGCAAAAGCCTTTCTCTTTCTCTCTTGATGGATTTCATAAACCTATTCTCTTCTGTGACATTTCTACTGCTTCCTTAAAGCCGCTTCTTGTTGGTTTTCTCTTTTATCCTTCATTGCTGGCATTACTAGTTCCAGTATTCTGTCATCCTTCAATCTGCTATTATGCCCCAAGTGTACCAGCTTGTGATCTTTGACTCATTTACTGATCTTGAGGCTTTTAAGTTCTGGACATACGCTATACTTTTTTTACTTACTGCTGCCAGTTCATTATAACACTTCATCTCAGATGTACTCAGCCATTCTAGATCTCTTTCCCTCAAGGTTTAGGTGTTATAAACACAGGGGCATTTGCCTAGAATTCTCAGTTTTCTTCTGATTGAAATGTAGCCTTTCTTCCAAATCTCGTGTCATGTACATTTTCTAATGCTATTCAATTGTTTCACTGAAGCACTTGCTGTCATTTATCAAACTTTCAACATATATTAATTATTCCACACATTCAAACTTTTCATCATCTACCTACAGTATTTCCTCTTTTTCTTCTCATTACTATGATTTTAACGTTAGGCTTGTTTATGTATAGTCCTTAGTCCTTTCTACACTTCTCTCAAATGTTCTTAAAACAATGCTTTTCTTGTTTATTCAACCTTCACCACTTTCTATGTTTTCTGTGGCCATTACATTTTTGAAAATGTTTCTGAAAAAGGAGGACATGAGCAGATCGGCTAGCTCATTAGCTATGCTGGTATATTTACTACAATTTCTGCTATTAGATTCAGTGTTAATTTCTGTTTCCATCTTTCCTAATTACACCTTGTTCTTCACTCAAATGTTCTTTAACCACGTTGATCTTTTCCATGCTTATGTGAATAATGAGAGCTTTAGCTAATTGCACAGACTCTCAGGTATTCTTCATAAGCATTTCAGGATTGAATTACACCAATATTTGGGCCACATACAGTACCTGTCTCACATGCTGCTCTTCAGCCTCCTGCTTTGATCAGCTCAGCCAGAATGCTATCCATGCCCCTGCTCTTGCTAGCATCTATTTTTGATTTTGTTTGTTAATGTTTCGCATTATTCCTACCGCTGGCATTCAAGTGTGGAATTTTCCTTTTTATATTTTTAGTTTGATTTGTTACCTCTAAAAGCTCTGTTACTAGTCATCAAACACTAAGGAGAGGAGGTATACAGTATCAGAGCTATTGTTTGAAGAAACAAAGCCTGCAAATCGCATGATTCACAATTTACATCAGCCTTTAAGGTAGTACAAGAATTTTCTAATTTGTTTGCATGGTTATACTTCCAGATTTAATCTCAATCCAAATTTTTTTTGGACAGGAGCAATAGGTTCTTGTCAGAACTCTTGGAACGGAAGATCTTCAAGGAAAACCAGGTTGTTGCTATAAGTGGTGCTGGTGGATGATTGGCTAGCACTCCTTCCTTTGGACCAGAATTTATAAACCAATATCCCATTATGATAACTGAAGTCCCTATGCCAGTGGCTCTCAAACTGTGGTACGTGGAGTGCCACCAGCTGGTACGCCATATGACCCTGGAACTTTGTTGTGTGCACCGAAAAATCAGGACGGGTTTTCATTTTTTCTATTTTAATACGTGTCGAATACGCAGCCCACGTACTACGATCCAGCGCGCGCTAATACTTGAGTGGACACAAGAGCTACAATGTAATTCTATTCCATTCTACAGGAATGCGTGCTAAGAACGTAAATGACCAATTGTATTTAAAAAACTTATCTCCAGCAAATAGAGAGGTAGGAGAATGCATGTGATTTTGGAACACCGCCAAACTTGTAAGCACAGGAAAGCATAGAAATGTGTGCTACGAACGAAAGCGGCCAATTGTATTTAAAAAAACGTATCTCCAGTAAATAGGGAGGTAGAGAATATGCGTGATTTTGGAACAATGCCAATGTTGTAAGCACAGTAAAGCATAGAAATGCGTACTATGAACGCTGGCAATCTTGTGAGCACAGGAAAGCGTGATAGATAACAGAAAAATATTTAAGGACTGTTCTAGGTTAATTTGAGAAAAATACACTGAGCGTCTCTGTGTTTCACTCCCATGGGCATGAAATAACTTCTTTTAACGTCTGAGACGGACTCCTTAAATGGAAACGGGGAAAATTGCAAGCTTGCGGATTGCTAAAGCAGGTAAGCCCCACACTATTTTTTGAAGAACCTTATTTACCGTTGGCAAAAGAGCTGACACGTAGTATGTGTGGAGAAAAAGCTGCTAAGCACCTCGACCTGCTGCCCCCTCCGAAAGACACAGCCACTCATAGAATTATTGATATGGCGGAGATATCAAAAGTGCGCTGATAGAGTGTGTTAAGATGAGCAGATGCTTTTTACCACAATTAGATGATTCTATCGATGTCGTCGATTTGGCCAATTTGCTCGTTTACGTTAAATACGAGTTTGAGGGCATGTCCCATGAGGACTTTCTGTTCTGTAAGCCGCTAACAACAGGAACTACAGGAGAGGACATATTTCAGCTTCTCAATGAATTTATCGAAGAAAATGGCATCAACTGGATAAAATGCGTCAGCGTTTGTACAGACGGTGCTAAAGCGATGACAAGCCGACACAGCAGTGTAGTTGCACAAATTAGAGAGGTTGCTCCAGTAATGAATGGACACATTGCAACATCCACTGCGAGACCTTAACCATCAAGAAAATGCCTGATGATTTAAAATCTGTTAGACTCTGTTGTGAATTGTATCAAGACTCGAAAAATGAATTTACATCTGCTTTGCTCAACTAAACAGGCTCACCCCTCTCACTGAAATGGTGCTTTTTTATTGTTTATTTTTAATTGTTGTTGTTCCATTTGTCATTCTGTAAATCGCTTTGAGAAGCCACGTTTAAAAGCGCTATAAAAACAAATAAAGTTTTTTTATTATTATATGTGTGTTAGAGTGTGTGTGCACGTGTGGTCATGTTGGTCATTGAGATTTTCTGGGGTTCCTATGAGAAGATAACTTGTAGGTGGTTCTTGGATGCTTTGGTTAGATCAGGGGTGGTACTTGGTCCAAAAAGTTTGAGAACCACTGCCCTATGCTATACAGTATATGTCATACCATATACTGTATATACAAGATGTATTATGTTTTTATACATCATTAAATATCCCATTGCAAGTTTCATAAAAACAGGTGTGTTAATCAAGATGTCCTTGCAGAATTCCACTCTGGGCTTGCATCATCAAAGTTCCCTATTAATTCAATTAATGAAGCAATTTCTTATTCTATCACCTAATGTGCTGTAGAGTAGCTGCTGATGTATAATAACTGTCGTGTTCATCAAGAGGGTTCACTCCTATATGTAGAGCATTTTTTATTCCTCTGGGATGAAAAGAACTATGTAAATACAAAGAATTACAATTAGTAAATTATTTTGGATCTAAAGTACATAGAATTAAGTAGTCACAACATTCTTCAAAAGTTTTCCTAGAATACTGACACCTCGCATGTGTGCTTGCTGATTGTGACTGCACAAAATACTGTCCTCAAGCAGAATTCTTTCAGCTAAAGATTTTAAAAGAAGGCAAATTCTAAGCTCTGAGTAACAACAGTATAAAAACTAAACCAAATGCATGTTAATTTTAACATTAACATAATGTTTGGCAAAGTTAAAAACCTAAAAAAAAAGAAGAAAAATATATCTTAATTGCAGTATTTGATTAAACCTATCAGAAACATTGTTGTGAAAGATAGCTTCATGTACAGTATATGTGAAAAACTATAATGGCATTTTTATATATTATGCTAAAGCATATCTATTATTAACTTTCATATCTAACTATTCAAAAAATTAACAAAGTATAATAACTATAATTTATATTTATTTTTTCACTGGTAGTGTCTATAAATTTACTTTAACCAAAGTATGTCTTTCCTGTATCATGCTGAGAAGTCAGTTAATAAAGCAAGGGTTAAATTGCAGACTGTTAAGACAAGCTACTGGCTAACAACTAGAAACTTGTGTATTCAATGCTATCTCCTTAAACCTCAATTTGCATTTGTTCCTTGCATGTTTAATACATGTAATATACAAGGTTAAATACAGTAATATAGGCAATCTCTAAAATGAAATAAGAAATCAGTGTTCCATTAGCAGCACAGTGGATGTCAGTGACATGATAATTAAAGAGATCAATTAATCCTGGGTTCTCTCTTGTTCCGCAAGTGATTAGAATCTTAACTTTGGTGCTATAACACAGTACTACAAAAATAGATGAAATGCTGCACATAAACAGAAATGTGATCCCAAGGCTTGTAGCTTGGAGACCCAAGAGGTCCATAGATTAACTCAACACAGTTTCAATCTTGGCTACATTTATATGGGAGTAGACGTGATTGGCACAACACCCATTAAAAATAACTACATTGATTTAAAGAAGAGTATTGGGATACAATGTGCATGGCCACTCAGGGGTGACAATTTCTGGATGGCTAATTAATTGGAAATGTGTGAATCTAACAATATTCATTGAACCACATGTAACTAGTACAGCAGAACTATAGACATGTTCCTTTTGTTTCAGGTACAGCACATAAGAGAAAGTTTTAATAAACCAATTAATGGCTCTGTGTGAACCCTCAGATCACAAATTAAATTACCCTACAGCCTTGATTAATTGATAGGAAAATACTGATCTGCTTCTTTTTGGTTCCTTTTGTGCATGCAGGTTGGTTTTATTTTATTAACTTGCATCTCCTTTTTGTCCCTGTTTTTCTCTACACTTTTTATAAAAGCCCAAATTTAAAAGAGACATAAATGACTCCTGCTTTCTGCATAAAAATGAGCAGCAAGCACAGTAAAATGACCTTATTCTTGTTATAGAAAAAGCATAAAAATATTCTGTAGTGCCTCAGAGTTTTCAATCTAATTTCATTTTAACAGTCACATTTAAGGAAGGTCGATCGCGGCAAAGAAAAATAAATTATACTGTAGATTCTTTTCATCTGCCCTTGCATATGATCTTCTCTTGTGTGCTAGTGAAGTACAGGATATTAATCTGACAAAGAACTAAGAGGTCTATAGCTAATTTAGAAAAGATGATGATGAAATACCTCAGTCTGTCTGTGAGAGATTCAAGGGCATTCTCCACCTCAAGACCGCGACACGCCTGAGAACTTAATCCTTCTGCCAGTAGGATGACCTGAAGAGACCATCGAGAAACAACCACATACAGTATACAGTAAATACATTTTTTTGTGTTTAGGTATTAATGAGGAGCAGTAAACAAAAACAACTTGTTAAATCTCAGATCCTTCCAACAAAATAATTATGAGTTATCCTTACTATTTGCATATTGAGTTAATAACTCCTCTAACTTACCACTCAGTAACAGTGACACCATCATTCAGTGAAAGCACCTCACACATACAATACTTTAATATTCATGATGAAGTATAAGTCAGTTGTCTGCTATTCAAAGCAAACGTGTAAAATGGACACCTGAAACTGCTTTTTTCATGAAATAGCAATCTTTACCTTTAGAAATCGAGACAAGATCATTGGCAAGGCCTAATTTTAAACATTGTGTACATATAACAGATAGGTCATTGCTGTTGTGCATTTACAGTATGACTGAGAACTCCTAAAAAAGGACTGTGGTGGTTTGGAACAGACTTCGTTATCCATGCTGCTCACACATATTCCCTGGAATCTTTAAGGAAATGTCTGGGTGAGATCCTGAGAGAGATCAATAAATGTGACTAAAAGAAAAGGAGAAAAATGGGAAGAATAACCCCCTCTCTTTTGTAAATGTTCCTACAGTATTTTCTTATGAAGACTCTTGGACAACATGCTGCACAGTCAAATCAGAGAAGAAATAATGTAAAGAAATTAAACATTACACAGTAGAATGCTTTTTCCTGAGTATCCTGATCTACAGAGAACCAATAAATCTCTCATTTAAAATCAGGCTTAAAAAGTGCTTAAGCATGCTTTACATGAAAGGTAAACATTTTACTTGACCTCCATGGTACTGTGGAAAATTCCACAGTAAAAGTACAATATCCTTGATTATTAAAATATGGCAGATATACAATGGCTTCTGTACAGCCATTTGGCAGTTCAGGTTTGCTGTACTTGGCAGTTTGTCTTGTGGCCAGTTTGAGTCAACAAGAATCTGTATTAAAATCATGTATTCTTACCACACTAATTCTTGAAGAGATTTAGGAGGCAAGAATCAGTATCCCTATACAGTATGTAATAGTACCCCTACGCCAACACTAGTCACTCTTGATTCGACATTTCCCCTTGCAATGACCAGGCCTGAACAGTCATCTTTTCTTCCATTTAAGTTAATTCTACAAGGTAATTGCTACAAAGAGGAAGGGCTCAGTTTAGAAATAACACTTTTACAATGAAATGCCAGTAAAAGCCACAAAAAAATGGATAAGCACAAAATATTACATTGTTTAAAACCATACATTTATGCTCTAATTTCCCCTGACCAACTAATGCCAACTATACCTCATTAGAATATTATGAAACACATTATAAATACAATCCCAGTTTCAAGATAAATATTAGATAACAAAATTAAGTTATGGCTTGGCTATGACATCACTGCCTTATTTGTAAAAAAGGTTCCTGATATGAATGTCCAAAATATTACCAATGTCACAGTACATAATGTCTCACATGGTACCCCCACCTAAGTGATCAATACTTAGTGTGTCATAATATAAGCTTGCAAGGTGGCTGAACTTCGTACATGGACAGAGCGAAGTCAACTCCTTTCAAATTATAAAACCACGTTACTGTCATACAGATCAGTAATGTTATTAAGGGGTCGCTAATGTTTACATTCAGTTTTCAAACTCATCACCTAGGTGGCTGATCGGGTCATGATCTGATGTTGCTGTGAACCAGAGCACGCAACAGATCCTGATTTAAAGTATTTGGTTAATGATGTCATAAGGGAAGGAGCATAACTCTTTCTCTATAATGATATAATGATGTTACCATTATAAAGGCAATTTCATAAGACACAGGTCTAGGCCAATTATGGGAGTTTCCTGTCAGGTGGTGGTCATGCTGCCTGATACAGCAACTGTGGGTGACTGTATGGACAGATCCTAAATGCCCTAGGAATGTGACAATATGTTAATCTCGGGAGCAACATTCCCAGTGGGCCTGCCCATCTTTCATTGAGTGGTGGCATCACTGCACTGTGACTGAAGCAATAAAGTCGACCTTCAATTAAAAAGAAATGCCACCTTTACAACCTCACTTACATGCATTTCTTACCAACAACAGAAACATCACACCCTCTTTTGTTTGAAAAATAGACTAGGACAAGCGGGATTTAGTCCTTCAGTTTAGCACCAAAGAAACAAATACCCATTTTACCCATTGAACCTCAATCAGTGGTTTTTTCTGAACTCTTAAGTCTTAGAAGAAAGAACTAAACGCCAGAAAATGTCCACCCGGCCCTTTCAGTTCCTGAGGTGTTTCGTGAAATGACTAAACTACTCCAGTTGGCTTTCCATTCACAGCCTTCTAAATACAATTGTTAATTTGGTGCACAAAGAAACAGATTATAACAATACAAACCAGTATGAACACACAATACACTGATCTGCCTAACATACTGTAGGTAAAACTAAATTTTATAAATGCTTTGATGTTTATCTAGCTAGCTTCAGCTATTATATTCCTATTCTATATTTTATAATTCAGAAATACAAATACATAGACTGCACATAGACATATTTTAATGATGTTACTTAATAACATAGCATACTCTAACTTATTGTCTCAGTAGTTTACTTTTATACATATTAAAGACCTCCTTCTACCTTCACCATTGTTCCATTAAAATAGCAAGAAATGATTATCAAATATACTACTTGCACTAGAACATCAATCTCAAAATAAGTACATAATTTCACTATATATATGATCACTGTTTGAAATGCTGATTTTTTCCACTTGAATGTTTGTAAATCAGTTTATGTTGGTGTTTACAAATTGGTGTTTAAAAAAAAGCTGCCTGTCTAAGGACTTACTGAGCAGGTAAGACTCTAATGGCTGAACATCGCAATGTAAGACAAGCTGGGATCTGGTAGCAAATTCCAAAAATTTTTAAAATAGCAATGTAGTAGGTTCTAAACTACATGAATATACAAATACCTGTCTCTCCAGCTGCATCACCTGAGCCTTCAGAAGGTTTACACGTCTTTCCTCAAACTTCTCTTCCTTTCCCTCCTCAAGCAACTGCTGATACTGGCCCCTGTAGAGAGATCAGTGTTTTGTCAAGGAACCTTACACTACATAAGCCAAGTAATAGAAATGGCAATGATTTCTAAAAGTTTTCTTCAGTATAAATCAGGAAAGAGTCGATCTTCTAAAAGTCAAAATAGCCTTCAAAAACTGCATCAATGTAGATGGTCTAGAAAACAGAAATACTAAGTTTTTTATATATATTTCCTAAATGTGTTAAACCTGGATGTATTCAGACACTTTATAAATATACTGCAGACCATTTTTGTTTTGTGAACCATTAAAGTGATAGATTCTATTTTCCCACCTGTTGGTGGCTTGGAAAGTATCCCAAAGCAAGGTGGTAGCAGCTTGAACTGAATTTACAGTACATGTTGCTGTTCTGAAAATAAGCCAAATATTCCTGAAATGAAGCAAAACTGCTAAAAATTAAGTTTATTCAGTATGAGTTTTAGTACTTTAACTTTGCCATCCATGCCATACTCAAGTGTTGTTGCTCAAAGTTATAAGAAGAATATCTATATACAGTATTGTGTTCCAACATAATATCCATTAACACATGACACATACTGTTACACTCATGTGATAGCTCTGGGGAGGGCAAGTGATGTTATCCTCAAGGTGATGGATTACATAATGGAAGATAAGTTTAATATTTAGATTACTACCATATTAAGCCATCTTTCAATGAACATGTTGAATCACACAAGAAAAAGCAGAACTTGCAATCTGCAGATTAAGTCTTGTTTTCCACTGGGAAAGTGCCCATGTGTAACCTCGAAAAAATAAAGTCACGTAATGATAAAGATCTTGAACTCAAATTGGTGTAAGACAGAGGCCATACAGTACTTTTGAAAATAAATCACCAGACGATACTTAAATGTTAAAATACAGACATATTTCACATGTATCATCAATCATACAGGAATTGGTAACACCACTGAATAAGAAATTATTATTTATGATATTCATATTTATTATAATAAAATACAGTTTTCAGGTAATGTGTAATTGAAAGTTTGTTAGGGTTATCAAAAGTACAGAACTTTTGAATTCAAGGGCCACTGATATTTATAGAATGTAACTTCTTTCATTGGCTCATTATGCTTTATGACTGGGGAAGAATATTCATTGTGTTCAAGATCAAAGACAATTGCTTAGTTTTCTAAGAAATCAAGGCATTCTGATTTGTACCAGCAAACAAACTATCTACACCAAACTGAAATAGGTTGGGGTCATCATTATCATTCATCATTCATTCAAGAAAGTAAGGTGGCATCTTCGAAAAATTAATTCATATTCCTTAACTGGTAATGTCTAGGAATTGGTTTAGACCATTTCTTAATTGCATTTATAATCCAAATTAAATGATCAACTGTATAGAAAATACAGCGCGGTGGTAAACTCACACATCCATGCATCCACAGTTAGCCTCAGTTAGTGGAAGAAAGTAAATTATGGATTTAAACCCACTGCATTCTTCTTGTACGGAATTATTCCAAAATATTTTATATGTATTGATCTATATTTAACAATACAATATCCAGTCAGATTGTGTTAAAAGCTGAAGGCAAGGAAAAGTTTAACTTACATGCCTCTAGAGTACTGTGACTGTAACTTGTCAAGTGGTATTGCTGAAGCAATTGTATAACAGGTCCAGGATTAGACAGATTTCTCTTAATGTCCTGCTGGGTGTTACAGATTCCAGTAATACAGTGACACCTGCATCTTCTCAGGCTCATGCAGTTTTACAGTGATGTCAGCAAGGATGTGCCTCTTCTCCAATCAGCACTGTACCTCCCATACATCTCTGTAGAGTTTGCAGAACATTTAGAAATCAATGTGTTCATTGAGTGGATGGGCTAGGACAGCCCATTCACATTTCTTCGTTCTCCAGTGTGGGTCTCCTCATTTTGAGCCAAGACATCAATACACAACCAATGATTTCAAATAATGTGGGTATTTAATAAAATAATTGGCAATGAGATATTTATTAAAAAAACAAGTTGTCAGAGTATTTAAGATACAAAAGGAAGCAAAACACACATAAAACTCAGATACATAAAAATATAAAACTGTCTTTGTCCGAAAATGGAACATTTTCCCCAACTTGCACTTCCAACCTTAATTCAGTTGTTAATGCCTTACTTTAAATCCTGGAGCTCTCGTTTAAGCTTAATGTTCTCCTTTTGAAGTTTCTGAAATTAAAAGAAAGCACAGAAAAACAGTTTAAATTTTAAATGATTCCTGGAATCACTGGTTAATAACTTCCTCAACAGCAATTTCTTTCAAGTACTTTGTAACTGCATTATACAACAATCCTCTAGCCAATATATAAAATAAGATAATTAAGAGCATAAGAATGGTTACAAAATGGGGGCCATTTAGCCTATTTTGTAGCTTATTAGGATTTCTCATGCATTTCTGTTCCTTAAATTACTTAGATTAATAAAATAAAGACAACGCTTGCCTTTTTTAAAATTTAATATTAAAAAAGAAAATGCATACCCACTGAAAATCAGAAATCACATGAAAGATGAAAAAACTGATTTTGTGATCAACAGAACATCATTGAACAACCGTGCAGATTTGCACATAACATCATGTAACATCATGTACTTTATTGTAACCATGAAGTGGTCAGAACTAGTCTATACAGAAACATCTGGATAATACAATATCTACAATTTTTCCATGACAGAAACCAATTAAAATATGTCTTTACAAGTATACATGTAGTACGACAAGATATGAAAAACTATTGGCCCACAAAAAGAATCTGATTTGTTAAGTAAAGACCATTTTGTGTAGTGTACTGTCTGAGAAAAGCAAAAACCCCATTCATAGCCTAGATCCTACAGTATGAAGTTGTTGACATACAATATTTGTTCTTGATGCAGTTAAAAAATATGCAAATATGTATTCTAAATATATCACATTCAATGACAACTAAAACAAAGTAACGGGTGCAGTATTGTTTCTAAATGAATGTCTACAGGACATTTACAAACCTCTGCATCCAGGTTGCTCCTGTAAGAAGATCTTGGATTAGGATCCCTGCTTTGTCCACTTCCCTTACTCAGTAGATTTTCTTTAGAGCTGTGACTTGTGGACGGGTGGCTCTCACCAGGGTAACTAGATAAAGATTTGCTCAACTGAGCAATGGTTTAAATGTCAGTATTTCTTCAAAGGTACATACTGCAATCGCCTGTAAAGAAGGCTTAACGGATAGGGAATGTAGAACTTATTTTATCTGTAATTGTGTTATTGAATTTCAAACAAAATTCTAAGTGTGTATTACTTATATTATACACTGAAAATATCTCTTCCCCTCAGAATAATGAATAAAGTTTTAAATGCAAGCTGTGTTGCTTTGAGTACAGAGAATGGACTGTATTGCTTGCTAATTATAAAATGCTGTTTTCAAACAACCCTGTACTTTCATTATTCACTTTGATTTCATTTCATACCCCAGGTCTGTGCATTACATCTCACATGACCTGGGTCACAATGACTTCATTTTAACACTCAACAGTATGCGTGTGTCTGTTTTTGAGGGGATGTATAATTTATAATGTTCTACTCCTGGTGCAATTTATGCAATATCTTCTATAAGTAAAAAAAGAGATAAATGTCTTACTCTAATACTAAAGGCATGTCTAGATATCAGGTACCAGAACACTGATGGAAAAAATCTTTAATTGAGCATATATCAGTTACCGTGCAATATTATTCTTAAAGGCAATTAGTTATTACTGTCTGACCACAAAATGTATGCACTGTGTTTCAAAATTCTGTTTTGTATAGTTTCTTAAGGTTATTGTTAATAACCTTAAGAAACTATTCTACGGAATATAACACTGCAACTAAATTTTATTGTCACAGTTTCTGTCTGACATCCAAATATCTGACATACAGTACAGTATTTCTGAGATGTCAGAAAATGTCAATGATCTAACTCTGATAAACTCTTAATTCCTTTCTTAGCCATGTTTGAGGTTGCATTTTACCTGTTGAATTTCGAAATGAACACGATCTCCAAAGTTTCAAGTTGGAAATCAAACTTGCAAAAGGTTTAATCAATTTGTTAGATTAGTTTAGGATTCAATTACAATGGGTATAGAAAGTAGTGACCTCCACTGTATTTTGCCACATTTTGTTGTGTTACAACTGGAAACTCAAAAGAGTTCTTGTGCAATGAAAATGGTGAACCATTCAGATTGAACACACCTGTCTTTGTAAGGTTAAATACCTGTCTGGGTAATTTCCCACCTTTGGATAATGTATACAAAACAATACGAAGACAAAGGAGCTTCTACAACAGAACAGAATTGTGGATAGACATTAATCAGGAAAGGGCTATACTGTAAAAAAGATTTCAAAGGCACTGAGTATCCCACAGAGCACTGTTAAATAAGTGGAGAAAAAGTGTCGAATAAATAAAACTACTCAGAATCTTCAACGACCAGGTCGTCCTCCAAAACTCAGCAGCCATTAAATGCTTAAGGTCTCAGGGGGGTGAATGCTTGTTTTTAATAAAACTTTGTTTTACAAAACTGATTCTGCCCCATTGTTAAGGTCCAAGGGGGGGGGGGGTCAATACTTTCTGTACTCCCTGTAAGTAGAAGCTGTGACAAAAAACATTAACAGTGTGGTTCTGAGTGTGGTCTGGGAATCCCTGCTGTCAGGCAAGATTGTTGTATGGAGTAAAAAACACAGAAATCAAATGGAGGTTTGGCAATTGGATGTCAAAGGCACATACACTTCAGTAAACAATACTGAACTTGCCCAAACCCTGGGGCAATTTCAAAGACATGGTAGAAATATGTCAATATTATTACTGGATCATAAACTCCCAGCTCTACCGCAGTCCCAGCTTACATTTATTGAGTTCGGATGTAATTTGAATGTTTAAAATGCATGGACATGCAAAACATGCAAAAGTATGCACATGCATGTTTTAAAAAAATAATATAACTTTAGTTAATCTGACAAAAACAAAATGTAATTTTACAAATTAAACACTATTAAACAATATTAAACTGGAAAAGAAATCTTGTGTGGGGGATATTCAAATAACAACAACACTGTTATCTAACAAATCAGAATTAAGCAACGATTTTGTCATTTGCAATGGGCTGTTATGATCACTGAATTGTTAAGAAATCATGATAAACTCTTTCTCATCCTAGCGTTAATCCCGCATCAGCAGGGTCCGCTTGTCGGCACGCCCGTCTCCATTTGGTGGTTTGAACCAAATCTTTGAACTGACGTTGCCATTAAATTCAACTGAGAATACTCCAACTGGCACGTTGCTCCGCCTGCCGTCGGAGAAGAAATCATGATAAACTGGTTTCAGAATTTGTTTTTATTGATGGATGCATTAACAATTGGTGATATCTGCAGCTAACTGATGTATGCATGGGAAAATGTTTAAAATCCAGTGCTTATTACCACTGTATTGCAATTTGCATTGAGGTTTTAATTAATTATTGGTTATACTGTATAACCAGTCTTGAAAGAGAATTCTGTGAATTTGTTTAAAGGAAAAATTAAAATAAGGGCGTTGCTAGGAGCTACAACCTAACTAATGTAGATTATAGAATAGGAATGAGTATGGAACAAGATTTTGAGCAGTGAAGAACCCCAACCATTCAATTTATTCACCCCAAGATCTGTCACAAAACATATATATTCCGTGGCTAAGGATCTACGCCTGTGGCTGGAAGGTTTCTGGTTGGTACCTCGTGGCCAGCAGAGAAATCCTACTCCACTGGGCCCATGAGCAAGGCCCTTAACCCCAGCTGCTCCAAGGGGCGCCGTATAAATGGCTGACCCTGCGCTCTCACCCCAAGCTCCTCTCCCTGTCTGTGTGTCTCATGGAGAGCAAGTTGGGGTGGATGAAAAGACAAATTCCTCATACAAGAAATTGTATATGGCCAATAAAGTGATCTTATCTCTTATCTTATGTCAACTTGCAAGAGCAACTGCATGAAACCAAATCCTCACTTGTTTATAACCTATGCAGAGACCACTAGAACCATAATGCTTATTATAGGACTGATCAGATGTGCAGGAGTTTTGGAGAACAGGTAACCAAAACTCTTGACCCTTATTTATAGATGTGTCTTGCAGGATCAAGCCCTATTCATTTTGAATTATATCCACATGATCATTCTTTTCTTTCAGAAAAATAATTAATAAGATTTTTCACCACTGGCATCACTGACTCTTGATTCAGTATTGGTTAAACAAGCTTTAGGAGACATCAGTGAATTTGCAGTCAGCACAACAATAATCAAACAGATCAGTTATCTGACATGAAAAGATTTTTGCACAGTCACAAAGTACAAATTTAGTGATCTTTTAAAAACAAGGCTCAACACAAAGAGCCTATAAGGATAAACATGTCACGTGGTATTTAAGTCTTGCAATGTGTGACATATTAAATTCAATTTTCAATTGATGGGACTGCAATTGGCTATTACACCTACTCTACAAGGTACATACATTTTTGCCCAGCACCGTGTCTTCCTCAGCTTTAAAACCACAGGAGTTACTTCTCCATAAGATCAAGATTTATTTTGATGTCCTGCAGCCTTTTTTCTATGAGCCAACATTCAAAGATATCCTTTAAAGATTAACTACATTAACCCTTTTATTTGCAAGTAATATTTTTATTCAGAAAATACATACTGATTTTTTTAACATCTGATCTTCACTGTCAGTACTTATTTTTTCTTAACCTTTCACCTTTATTAAGCTCATTCTTTTAAAATCCATCATGTGCAACAAAACATAATAAAAACACATGTAGAACTACCAATATAAAGGAACTACTGTCTTTTACAGAAGACCATTCCATCCGGGCCACCATCCATACTTGTCCAGCAGCCATATCACCCTGTAACTCACAACTAGCAACTCCCTGAAGCTAAGCAGGTGAGAGACTGGTCGTTACCTGGATAGGAGACCTCCTGGGAAAAACTTACTTTGCTGCTGGAAGAGGTGTTAGAGGGGCCAGTAAGGGGTGCTCAAACTGCAGTCTGTGTGTGCCTTAATGCCCCAGTATAGTGATGGGGACGCTATACTGTAAAAGGGCACCATCCTTCAGATGAGACATAAAACCAAAGTCCTCTCTGTGGTCATTAAAAATCCCAGGGCGTTTCTCGAAAAGAGTAGGGGACTTACCCTGGCATCCTGGCCAAATTTCCCATTACCAATCATGGCCTCCTAATAATCCCCACCTATGAATTGGCTTCATCATTCTGTTTTCCTCCACACTGATAGCTGATGTACTGGCGCACTATGGCTGCCATCGCATCATCCAGGTGGGTGCTGCACATTGGTGGTGGTGAAGGGGAGTCCCCATTACCTGTAAATCTTATCGAGGGACTTTTATAGGGACACACTAATCCAGTTATGTCTTCAGATGCTTTTAGGAAACTAGAAAGAAACCCATGCAAATACAGAGAGAACATGAGAGCTACATTAACCACCATGCCCCTGTTGTACATAACAAACCACCATAATCAAAAAGCCATCACTGCTGAATTAGGTTTATAGGAAGACGGAACCTGACAACTCAAGGACAACTCTGCAGTTCTTATCTAAATTATGAGAAGCACCATTCATAAAATGACACAAATGTGTGCAACAAAGGGTAGAAAAGAAATATCAGCTTATATCTCTGAAGATGAACGAAAACATGTAATTTGTTGTAAACACAGGTGAGAGGAGGAAGATAAAGAACACTTTCAATTCACTACATCCTCAAGTAATTTTCTAAAATGTATTTATTATTTTTATACCCTCTAGCTATACATAGATCAGGGTACAAGATTGCTTGCCTTTCTCTGCTGAGTACACAATAATTATGCTACAGCAATTTACTATCCAGATTGAACTTCAGCACAATAATTAAAATAATTCACCTTGGGGGATTATTACTGTCCGTCAGTGGGCAAAATTCCACCCTCTCTGAAATCTGGTGTTCCATTAGCCTACTGAAAACATTTTACGAATAGCGTGCCGAGCTTACTGGTTTTTTCTGCATGCTCAAGGAACAAGGCAGCAAGATAAAAATGAATAATTTATTACTTGCACATCCTGTGATGACATCAGCATTTTCCCTTTCCCTCTCAGCGACCTCTTCCACTCGCCTTAGCTCTCCCTTTAGTGTAAAGAATGAGGACAAAGTTGAGGACGACCTGTTTCTTACCCCTGCTGAATTCCCACCAGTACAAGCTGGGTCAATGAAAACAAGCCTTGCTGAACTGAAGCGTGACGAAAGATTCCTTGACACACATCTGGCTTTGAAAAGGCATGGTGTCTGAATTGTGGGAAAGAACTTAATGAGTCGATTCAGCTTTACAGAGAAGTTGTATTGCCGGTGCTGTTTTTTATTTAAAGTGTTTTAAAGTATTTTTTTATTTTTCTTGTTTTGAAAAACAAACCCAGCTCGGAACATCTCAGAACAGTTCGTGGCACACAGCTGGTTCTTTCAGAGATGGGTCTTCACATGATCCCAGCGCAATCTACTGTATTTAATATCTTCCTGGCCATTGAAACATTAAAGTCACAGAGTCTTCTTTTGATCTACAAAGAGAAGCTGGTGACAGCAGTGTTACCGTCATCTAGCCTGTCCTTGTCAGATCTCAGGAGTTAAGCAAGGCTGGGTCTCATTAGTACTTGGAAGGGAGATCTCTACAGAAAAGCAGGTCACTGCTGCATGTGGTGTTGATGCACCATGAGATAGCACTCTTTCCTCCCCAACAGAATCTCCAAGCCAATGCTTCTGTATGATGACACAGTGCTGTGTTCAAAGGAGGTGCTGTGCTTCAAGCAAGACCTTAAAACAAGGTCCAAACTATTTGGTCTTTAAAGATCCTACATCATTGTCCTTAAAAGCAGTGGTTTTAACCAGTTTCCCTTAACAAAACTTCTTTCTTCACTTCTTCGCCCGATGTGCTATATCATAATGGCTACTGCACTGCAGTGCTACAGCTGAAGATCAGTATGTCCCCTCCTAAACAAAAAGGGTTTAGGCATCCTTTACGGTAAAAAGAGCTTTCCAAATCCAAGCAGTTAAGTACAGTGCAACAGACAGATAAAATCAAAAACAGCACAGCTTGAACTACCTTTGACATACTGTATCAAAGTTATAAGGTACCTTTGTCTATCATCTTAATTATTAATGCATGTCATGCCTTCAAAGATTATAAATGACTCTGCAAAGAGAGAAACGTGAATGAAAAATATAATGTGGCGGATGCAAGAATTCAATGTTCTTCCAAAGCCATTGTTGGATCATTTCTATACCTCTTCAATTTGTCCTGCTGCTCTCTGCCTGACTGACCACTTTGTTGTACTGGTGGATTATCGTTTATTACTGTTGCAGCTTTCTACCTTATTGATCGCCTTTGCTCGATGCTGGTACAGCCTGCTATGAGCCTCATTGCTTAAACAGCTTGCCCTAGCAATGAATTGCCTATTGTCAATGTAGAACTACATACTGTAGCACAATATTTGTTGTGCAAACACAGTAAGCATTTTTTAGTTTTTAGAATTACAGTATAATGCAATATTTTTTTGTTTCTCAACTCTCTGAGTTACTTGAAAAGTGCTCATCAAAAAATTATTACAAATACACCAAAACAGTAGGTCTCTACCACATTCATTCTTGTCATATCAATGCATATCTATTTTTGCCAGTTTTCTCCTGGAATTGAATTCCACTGCTGAAAAGAATTTATGTTTGGCTTATTGAAAATCAAACATACAGCCCAACGAAGTATGTAACAGTTCGAACAAGTAATTATCCTCACACTTATGATTGTAGTATAATTGAAGAAGGGGGGGGGTCTTTTTTAGGACCCTATTGTTCACTTGAACTGTCGCTGGAAATCAGATATAAACGTAGGAGCACTGCAAAACCAAAATTAAGTATTTTGCAAGATGCATGATTGTACTTATAAATCACACAAAACTCAAGATCAAATGTACAGGAAATTTACAATTCATCACAACACAGAACCTTAAATCACAGAAGATAGTTGATAAATTGGCAATGTTATTTAAATGTAAATATTACCTTAATTTGTATTAATCTGAAAATCTTTTTATGGACTGTAATTTCTAAATTGTATAACAGAAAAGGAAGTTTACTGCTTTCTGGATATCTCTTAGGAGTGTCATAAACACCTGAAAAAGCACTAGAAACAAATTTTCAAATGGCAAAGATACAGTTGTATATTTCCATTCTGTTATCAATTCTTTTATTTTTTTAGTAAATTGAGTAATAAATTAAGCTTAGCTCCTAATTTCATTGCCCAGTTCTAAGGCTTTAGTGAAACAGTATCACTAATAAGGCAAAACTCTTTCAGCAGGACTAATTAACTAATCTGAAAATGTGGTACTGAATCCCAGCAAATGTACTGCTTAAAAGTGGCACAGTTTTCTTACTGAAACAGTGAACAGTGAATTAGATAATGCACTCATTATTTGGATTTCCCAGTTTTCCTGAAAGGTGTAGTCAAAATGCATTTAAAAGCATCGGTATAGGAGTTCAATTTTTTAAAGATGCGTCTCTCTAGTATCTGTGTGGAACTGGGAGAAGAAATTTGCACCTGCTATTGATTTTTAAGGTAAACTATGTTCTCCTCGCATGGTCCACCAGCATTGAATTAATTATATTTAAGCCTTAAGCTCCTTCCCTCTGCCATTTTAAGGATTAGAAGTCACCCCAGTTTCCCTACACAGCACTGCAGGGCCCTTTTTATCTCTGGAAAGATCAAAGAGAAGTCTTTGTACATAAAGAGAAAATAAAATTAATATAAACCGGTAATGCAAGAGTGCCATCTAGTTAGCTGATAAAACACTACATCCTAAAGTCTGAAGGGCAAGGCTGTATACCCATCTTTATTGTCCACTGTAAACCCTACAAGCAATAAGCTAATTTTAATACAGTTTCAAATCTTTGTAATTGTGCAATAAGGGTATCATTTGTGCTTTGCTGATTTTGTATTTAAGAGGCAGCTGAAGATCCATGGCAAGGATATGTTCACTGATTATAAATTTACTAAACATCCCTAAAAATGTCATAGAATGCTAGAAAGCCGATGAAATAGCCAAAGTCCCATCAGCAGATCCTTAAAAAAATCTAATGTACCCTCACAGTAAGACTGGGTTAATTACCTGCACAAAAATGCAAAAGGCAAGACAAATACAATCTACTTCTCAGAGCAGAAAGGATGTCAAATTCAAATATGTCATCCATTACTAAAGCCTACAAATAAATTAGATGGATAGACATTGTCATTTCTGTTGTTTGCCTTCTATATGGAAGCACCAGCTCTATCTCTATCACTATTTACAATACTCAATATTCAGTTCTGAAGTACTGGCACTTGTAGGCACTGCGTAAAAGTCTTTATCACTGCCATAAATTTTGCAGAGACTAAATCCATTTTATAATGCCCCTGTTTAAATATATTGGATACGTCAGTATTGAACTTTCTAATCTTTCTATTTTAGATGTAACAGTAAACAACATTCAAGAATGATTTTAATAAAAATAAACACACAGTACTCCCATACTTGATGTAATTTGTTCTATGAGTCCTCTTCCCTCCCTTCAGTCATACTAGGATAAACTGCATAATAGAAATAAATTCACATACTGTTAAAAGGGTTCATATTCAATTTCATATTGGAGTCACTACTCAACACTGAGAAATCTTCAAGGTTTTGAATATATAATCAAGGTCTTCAATATTTTGTTAATTTTCCTTCTTAATCCTTCATTTTGTGATCATTGTTTTCTTTGTTGTAATCCCCATGCTCACGTATTGTGGCTTCCACTGGAAGTCAGTCTCCATAGAGACATCTAGAATTTATTTATGCTGGTGCTCCCCGTAAACACTGCAGAAAATGTTTTTGCCCTTTTTTAATTACATCCAGAATTTGCAATTTGGTGCGTAGAAGAAAGATTTTTTAAATCCCTGAAGAGCAGGCATTTCTATTCTTCTGTTTTCTACAATCACAAATTCCTTAAAGAAGATTGAATGCAGATTGCCTACAATGATGTTGGTGCTTTGTTGAGACTGAGAATCCCAGATTCCAGGTGAGCCAGACTGGGGACTATGTATTTGTACTTTCTATTGCTCAATGCTTGGGAAACGACAGTGAAAGCACTGACTGCTATTATTTAGAAAATCCAAACTTTATTGCACTTCAATGGCAGCTGTCTAACTTCATTTCAATCATCCTTTAGTGGAAATCTTGGCAGGGGGTAGAACTGATGAAGGGAGGATATAATGGGGTTGGAAACTTGTTCTGCCTTGAAAAAATTAATTTAATTTAAAAAACTGTTTAAAAACGGAAACATTTGCATAATTGTGATCTAGAAATAATGAACACCAGAATGTTTTTTAGCTTTCTGTTTATTATAATTTTTAAGAATACTGACCAAAACAGGCCTACTGACAGCATTGTTACCCCCTTTTAGTTCAGGTGGGCAAAATATGGCCCCAGGGCCAGACCTGGCCCTACTAACATTACCTTCAGCCTTTGACACAACTTCTAGAATATTTCTCCATGAAAACTAAAAACCAAATTATCATTAAGTCTCAAAATGGGTATTTAAGCACCAGTACTCAAGGACGTAATGTAATTTGTGTTTACTTTGTCATGGAGCCCTACTGTATGTCTTTTATGATGAGGAGAGCTGATAGAGAAAGCTGTGCCTTTCTGACAGACTGAAGAATCCCAGAGCAGTAACGCAGTGAAGGCACAGAGAGTCGAAGGAAAGCGGGGAATGCCAAAAACACAGTAGGTGATTGTGGAAGCAAGAAGGAGAACGGGGGCAGACGGGACTAAGAGATGAGTGCAGCTAACATGGCTGATACAGACAGGGTGGACCCAGTGACAGAAACAAACCCAGTGTTAGGATGTGGCGTGCAGATGAAGAACCCAACAGCTAGAGCCCAGTGAAGGCTCGGAAGAAGACAAAATGGCAAAGCAGGATAGAAGGAGAGGCTGACAGGCAGCAGGCAGGACTGATCTAGGAGGCGTAGGCGAGTAGCGAGCACAGCTATCAAGGTTGATCCTGGCAGAGTGGCAACACTGTTGCGCAGGATTAAAGGCGGCAGGTTCGGAAAAGTGCCTCTGTCC